TTACATACCAATTAGACTGCTACGTCAATTTCAAACCATAGTAAAACCAAAACCAAAGTAATTGCCTGATTACTTTCGACACTCGATTGAAAACCGTTCTAATTTACCTAGATTATATCAAAATAGAATATACCATGATAACACTTACGGCCATGGCGGACATCACCGTTTCAACTGAAAGGCATTTAAAACAAAAAAAACTTTGAGAAATATCTTACTCCACTGATAATTGGGGTATACCCCTAAACTGTAGCTTAAATTGCAGCTCTTGATATGTAGGTTATTGCCAGATATAAATTAACGTGGTCTTAAAAAATTAAAGGGACCTTTAGAGGAAAAAAAGTTGTCAGAATCGTTGCGGTGGTTAATCAAATCTCGTATAATAACAAAAACAACAAAAACCTTTATTTACTCACGGTTTAGTTTAAAGCAACAGGTTTGCTTGGGGAGCCGTGTTTACACTAAAAACAGAAATATGTACAGTAATAATATGATAATTCTACAATTCTAACAATTCTACGATTCTACCATAAGAGGAGGTATGATTTTATGCTTTTAACAGACAGATCTATCTAAGGCCTTTTTTCCAACCAACGCCTTTTCGCGCTAATGAGCCTTCCTCTATAATGTCAGTTCTTTAAAATGTCACCTTTCTACTTGATGTCCAGTGTATCGATATGTTCTGATAAAAAAAAAAATACAACTTGCCCTATCTCACGAAATGAAAGCATTTTTTGTTGAAACTTTATTTATTATTTTTTTCTTTCGTGTTTTGATTTTAGTGCCAGATGTAGATGAGTGCCAGAACCCATCATCTTGTATTTCACCAGCCACGTGTAAGAATACTCACGGCTCATATTTTTGTCAGTGCCCTAGTGGTTACGTCTTCAAGGCAGGATCAAAGAAAGAGTGTCAAGGTATTACTACTGGTACTCAAATTCGTTTCCGGGGTCTTTCGTGAGTCGTCTTCCCAGAATGATGAGAGACCCTGGTAATCAGTTTGGTTGCCGGCTAGATTTAAAGAAATCTAAGTAAACCTGGGCGATTTTGATTTTACGAACCATTCAGCCGAACATTTCTGTAATAAAATTAGGAGAAAGAACATTGCCGTAAACATGGTGAAGAATTTTCGAAAATTCGTTTTTACTCGGCGAGATGATCCTCTTTTCCAGAAAACGCTATTCCATTTGCCACTGAAGAAGTCCGTAAATTCAAACCGGAATAGAAAGCCCCCTGATCAACATGAAATATATCAAACAGGAAAGACTGTGTTTAACAACATATCCAAACACCGAGAGGAGAGTTAAAAATACGACTCGCAGCGGAGTATTTTTGAAGAACTTCAAGGTGTTCGGTGATGTAGTCAAATACTGCCTTGAGTGTTAAACATTTCTTCTCAATAAAAACTAAAACTAAGGAGAAAACGGGAAATAAAATCATAAAAATATGCGGTAATTAGAATTAGATATCTAAACACCGTCAGGGTCATGATTTCTGTTGTTTAAACTCGATGAACTATTAATGAGTTTGAGAAACGATGTTTCAGTAGAGTTTGAATTCTCTTTTTTTGAGACGTGGACGAATGTCAGACGGACCCCTACAGATGTACCTCTCCATCTCAGTGTATGAACACTGACGGCTCTTTCTATTGCAAATGTCCCAGCGGTTACAGAAAGAAAGCAGGAACATTGGATCAATGTAAAGGTAACATGGAATCCTATTCATAATTCACTGGCTTGAAGAGTTTTTTATAGACTTTGAGGAACCATAAAGTTCCAAATATAAGCTCCTGCTTATATTTTTCAAAGAACGTATTAGAGGAGCTTATTTTTATTTTTAGATTGCAATATTCTTCTATGCACTGAACGAATTTTTTTGTAGACATTATACCGTCCGTTTCCAATAAGAGGCCGATTGTTTTTCTTAAATGGCGTAATGAGACAACGAAACATTCATTCAGGTTTTTTTAGCATAGAATTTGCCGGTTTTTACTCCTGGGTGGAGAAGAGAGCGATGAATTATAAGAGTTGAACGTCTTCCTTTAAAACACAGAAATGACAACAACCAACGAGGAAACCTTGACCCCTGCAGCCAGGCCCCAAGGTGCTAGCCATTCAGGGTCACCGTGCTCTCTGCTATTCAAACAAAACATCAATATCCCCGTGATTGAAACGTAAACCCTGACCCCTCGAAACTTAAGTAATTTATCTATTTATTTTCAAGTAAGGAAAAGTGTTGGGAGGCGCGGTGGCCTCATGGTTTGCGCGCTTGTCTCCGGATCGAGCGCTACGGGTTCCAGCGGGGACATTGCGTTGTGTTCTTGGGTAAAACATTTTACTCTCACAGTGCCTCTCTCCACCCAGGTGCATAAATGGAAACCGGCGGGCTTAATGCTGGGGGTAACCATGCGATGGACATCCCATCCCATCCAGGGGGAGTAGAAATACTCCTAGTCGCTTCATGCTAGCTACGGAAACCGCGATAAGCTCCGGCCTGGTTGGCCACTTGGCTCATATGCTTACTTCACCCTTTTTATCAGGAAAGAGTGTTAAAAGTTTAATGTGGAACCGAAATGTGGTTTTTAACCAAAAAGTACCTTAAATGTATGGTGAAAAAAACTTATGTATATCTGTATTTCAGACATCAATGAATGCAGAAACTATCCTTGCGACAACGGCAAGTCAACATGTGAGAACTTAGTTGGAAGCTATCGCTGCAACTGTAAAAAAGGTTACCAGAATCTGGATGCCAAGCAGTGTATAAGTAAGTCAACACTGATATGCGCTGTTCTTTAAAAATCGCCGTAACTTGAGTTTTGTTCTTGCTACCGACTCTTTGTAATACTAACCTGGCAGCAAGCAGTGGGCTAAACCAGTTTATTTCTGAGGGAAGGAGGCTTATGCTATGATCAAAATACTGTTTCCTGTTCAGGAGAAATGAAGAAAAAAACGCGAAAAATAAACCAAGTGAAAAAATGTTGAATAAGCAGATGTATTGAAAAGAAAATCTCCTAAAGCCAAAAGGTGAAATAAATCTTTGTAAAAGTGAAGGAGACCAAAAATTCTTTTCAGAAAACTTCCTCTCCCAAACGTCCCACCTTCAACCAAAAAATTAAATGATCTTTCCCTATAAACTTGATCGACGATAAATATTAGTTCTCATAGTGAATGGCTTGATCTCTCATCACCAGATGCGAATGAGTGTAGGCTGGGCACAGACACTTGTAACACCACCTCTTCGCGATGCAGGGACACTGAAGGAGACTTTTATTGCCGTTGTAAAGATGGCTTTACTCAGGGAGTTAATAACAAGATCTGCGATGGTACGTAACATTTGCTCCTACCGCTGAGATGAAGTGCCCCCTCCTGAATTGAACGTCCCCAGTTGAAGATAGAGACGAACAAGATGAAGATAAATTTGATAGAAAATTTGCTCCTCTATTTCCATATATATGTGCATTCTACAATGTGCCTATAGTGTGCCAAATTTAGTCTTACTATTTTACAGAGTTAATTACGAGCAAAAAGAGAGTTGAAATATAGCTTTTTTACACTTGATTAGACCCTCTGAACGTGAGTAACTTACGACGTTTTATAGCAAAGTTCAATAAACGACAAAGAGAAGGCAATAGACCGTTTTCGATATATCAAAACTCAGCTTGGAAGTGAGGCCTAGAGGACACAAACAAAGGAAGTCGATTGACCATGTTAATTTATTTCTTTTTTGTGTGTGTCTTCTAGGCCTCACTATCAAGCAGAATTTTACTATATCGAAAGTGGCCTATCGAGGCAAAGGAAGAGAAAGAGCCTTGCTTTCAAGAATTGTCAGAAATAATTGTGTTTCTAATTCAGATTCATTTTATTCTGATAGCTACTTAAATAATCTTTTTGAAAAAAAAAGTATTCTTAGACTAAAGCATTCTTTCTGTTGCTATCATTATCATATGGCTAGCTGCCTGAGCGGGCGAGATAGACCGAATCCCGCGCTGTGATTGGCTACTTGAGCTGACACGATGGCGCTATCTCGCCCGCTCGGGATTTCCCGCTGTGTCCCGAAAGAAAATGGTGGCCTCTTCCATATAATAACTCTTTTATCGACCGAGTTTATTCGGTCAAGATGGTTGGATATTGGCCTCGTTCGCTTACGTGTGTTTGGACCTCGACTCCGTTTTGGTCCATAAACAAGCAAAAAAAGAACTTGGCCAATATCCAGCCATCTTGACCTCGCGCTTGGTCGATAACCCATATATATCTAACACGTGTTTCTTTACTAAACAGCCATTGCATGCGTTCCCTTGAGTACCCCGGCTGGAAGCACTTTAGAACCAGCACGATGCATTCAAGCCAATGCCAATATTTATGGCGACAAATGTGTCATGACATGTAAAGCAGGTTACGTCATCGACGACATTCAGCACGGAGTGCTTACTTGCGGAAGTGGTTCAAGGTGGGAGGGAAACATTGGCAGATGCAACCGTAAGTGACGTCACTTCCTGTTTTAAAGAGGGAATCTTTGCTCACGTCATGTCATTTTTGTCGTCTTTGTGTAGAGAACGCATAATGCTGGATAAAAATTGACTCCAAATATTTGAAAAGCTTCTGAAACTTACATTACTTGCAAAACATTTCGGACGTTAAAATTTCGGACGTGTTATTTCGGACGTTTAATTTTCGAACACTTTTTATCTAATTTCGGACAGATTTCGGACAACAATTTAGGACACCGCTAAGATATAGCTTAAGTAAATTTACGCCTAAAAAACACGAATTATACTGAAATAACATCTGTAAAAATGATAGTTTTACTGCAGCCTCAAGGTTTTACGAATGCACTGGCGAGAAATTCAAACATATTCTATCAGGCCGTTACGTATGTCAAGGAGTGTCTCAACTAGAGTTCGCTCCATAAAGCCCGGCATGAAGGAAGCAAAGAGCTTTGGCGCTACTTCCAAGTTTTATACTGTACTGTAAATATTTCGGACACTTTAAAATTTCGAACGGTGTTATTTCCGGACACTTTTTTTTTCTCCGAGATTAAAATCTTCCGAAACTTTTTACAAGTGATGTAGTAATTGGTGAAATATTTAGATTGTAATGTTGTAGGAGATATTGACTTTCAAAAATTGCAAAATGCCTGGCTGTGAAAAGCGCTAATGAGCCTTTACCTTCTTCGAATCCTTCTTCGTAAAAGTTTGAGTTTTTAAACCTACCCGACGGAGAAATTACGTAGGTAATATACTGGATTCAGATTCTCTAGGGACAGTTGATCGTATCGCGATCTTTCAATATATTCAGGGTTATTCATTGTACTCATTGTGCACATTCGACGAAGATGGCTACACTCTTTCATAGATGCCTTTTACATGTAAAATGTTTGATCTAAACTGTCGAATAATTTATCAATTTTAGGCGTATTTTTATCAAGTAAGGATTGGGCAGCCTTTGGCTCTAGAGCTCCAGTCCGTTCTTTGTTTCAAGTTTCTTCATTTTCTCACAACAAAATATAGATTAAATAGAGATTGAAAAAACATTTGTTAACGAAAACCCACTGGATGAAAAATGTATTCACACATCTAACATTTAACATAAGGCGTTATTTAAATTAAATTTAACAAGCGAATATACTTTCTTTCCGTTTAAAGAAGAAAGCGCCCTGAGTGTAGTGTGTTGTCGAATAGGTTTATTCTGCTTGTTCATGCACACCGCGTGCCAATATGTTACACTGAGGTTGTGGTCAATCGTTAAATTCTTTTAATATCCTTGTCTGTCAACAGCTGTAGCATGTCCAGCCCTGTCCGCCATTTTAAATGGAAGAATCTTCCCGTCGACGTGTTCATCAACTGGAGGAAAGTACACAGAGACGTGTATGTACAGCTGTGACAGCGGGTACTCGCTGGAGGGTCAGTCGAGGAGACAGTGCTTAGCGGACGGAAATTGGGATGGAGCTCCACCTTCTTGCAGAAAGAGTAACAAACAGTTTATCTTGTTTTGTAGAAATGGACTGCGCCGGCATTATCTTCGAGTAACACAGCTATTTCAATCAACCTTAGGAACAAAATGGCGGCTGCATATTTTACCAAAATACCATGCAAGTCTTACAAAGCCCATAAAGTACAAGGAAAGTGATATTTCTCGTCATATTTGTCCATGCGCTAACGATATTGTGCATGCTAGGTTTGAAGATGTTAGAACTTTCCTGCAGTTTTTATGAGCGTCGTTTTCGTGCGCTAAAAATTATGGGTAAATTTACAGTCACCTACGGAGGGTTTAACGTTGTCAGAGCAAAGCCTCAAGCTACAAGACTGAAAGTTAGGATGGGTAGAAGTAGAGAACTGCCGCACGCGCTCAATACTAATCAGATATAACAACTGAACATGGCAAACATCATTTCCTAGATTTTCGTTTTCGTCAGAAACAAGATTCTTTTCGCCACACCGAATTTCAGACGAATTTTCAACTAAAAGTCATTTAACAGAGAAAGAAACGCTACAGAAAAACGTTCTCATGAGTGGAAAATCTAATGTATCCTTACTAATGCTTCACGTGCAAAAATAAAAATGTGTAGACTTCCTCTACGCCGATGAACAAAATTCCGACGGATTACCAGACTACCATTCGGTCTTGTCGCGTAGGCTTGACGCTTTCATCCGACAACGACATCCAATACAAACACAGCATTTGTGATTTCTGGAGACGGAACACTCTTCCATGAATATATATTATTGAATCGTACAGTTATTAAAGAGGCTCAATCGTCGATGACCGGAGCTTCGAAAAGTCAAATGCCAAAAGACATATCTACACATCAATGGACACCTATAAAAAATGGTCTTGTTTGGTTAAAATATTCTTGGTTCACCTGACGTCAAGGCGGCCATGTTGGAGCTCCTAAACAAAGAAACGACGGCCATGTTGGAGCCCAAAATTTAACCTCCGGGGACTGAACTCTATTTTTATGTAAATCTTTTCTTTGTTTCGGTGAAAAAACACGGCTGTTGATCACCTGAGTGAAAACCAAGAATAATGTATCAGTGCATTGAAGCTGTTAGAGGAGTGTTGTCTAAAACCACCCAAGCAGGAGGTTACCATCTTAAAGATGAAAAGTTGGACGGAGATTTTCAAATTCTGCTCCCTTGTCTTCAAGAAAATCGCTTAAACTAAATGTTATTTGTTATCTCTTCGCCAATTCGTTTCACTTCTTCATCTTCGTCTAGGCATAATTTGTGTATTAGCAGCCAGGTGTCAACAATTTTTACCTGTATTCAGCTGTCTTGGCCTCTGTATTAAGTTGACGTGGTCACCTTCTACAAAGTCCCGAATAGCGTATTGTCTGTTTTATGAACTGCAGTTAACAGGGGCCCTCATCAACAATAACCTGCAGCCTGTGCTAAAGGAAACTGGAATCAAATCGTTTGTCTTTTGACTTAACTGAGGGCTGTATAATACAAGCTGTTCATCAAACCATCTGGAGTGAATATTTTTTGGAGCCAATTGCCCCGGTCACCCTACCCATCATTGGTTTAACACCATTTATCTTTTTTATTCAGTTGATGTGAAGCCATGGATTGTGTGTCCTGATAACATAAAGCAAGATTTACAGCCCAGCAAGAGCACTGCTGACGTCAGCAGCGTGTGGAAGGAACCCACTTCAAACGTGAAGCAGATCACTATCAATCCGCCTGAAATCTCTTCTAGTTACCAGTTTCCGGCGGGTGAAACGAAGGTGGAGTGGACTGCGACTAGCCCCGCAGGATCGGCAAGCTGTGCGATTTATGTTACGATAGAAGGTAAATAAATACGTTATTTCATGTCTTAAGCCATTTAGGGGTCGGAGCGTTGGTTCGGTCTTTAAAATTTATTTCCCCCCCCTCCCCCCTCCGCCAACCCTGACCGAAAATACCCCAGACACAAATGCGAAATATCCGAGTGATGTTTTCCAATTTTCAAAAGATCTCGCGTTTTGCGAAAAATATTGAAAGGATAATAAACACAACAGACTCCATATGACTTTAAAAATATGCTCAGACATTTGTCCCTGGACATTATCTGTTCTGAGAAGCGAACAGGTTTTCTCCCGGGAGCAATTAACTGACCATTTTGGTCTGCAGCAAATGAAGTGGAAGCAGTATGTCTTTAAAGGACTTAAAAGATGCACGGAGAAAGAGCTACTAAAAGGTTT